GCCAGCAGAGATGAATTACAGGAAGTGAAAGAACACAGAGAGGAATACCACTGCAAAAGAGATGCAAATGATTTGCAAAAGTAAATACTCTCTATCTTCAATCACTTTCCTATGGGACCCCGGACTCTATTAAGACTATCTTCCCTTCAGCATAACAGAAGAGTCTGTTAGTTCATTTTGCCCAAGCTCATGACAATCCTTCCCTTGTATTACAATGGCTGCAACACAAGGCTCACACAAATCTTTCTGCCAAGAGACTATCCATGAGCCTCTCTTAAAATTGCCTACGCCCCCACCCCATTGACACTCTGACACTGAAAATTTATTAGTCAACAAGGCATGATGCTTTTACCACCAACTAATTTTAAATACTCCCAAAAGCAGCTTACGTTCCACGTAACATGAAGAATGGAATTCTTACACCAGAAATAGCAGATATAACTTTGAATGTCTCCTGCCATGACTGGAGAACATTTTGGTGCCTCAGTATTTCCACATTACATCAGGATCTGATGATCCACCTGTGCCCTCGGAACCTTGTGTGCCGGGTCAGGGAGGGGGCTTTGTGCACATCCACGTTCAGTGTCAAGGCTGGGAGACAGAAGAAGGTTCCCAGAGCTTTTTACCAATTGGCAGGTGGTGCAAACATGCAAGTCTCACAATGAGATTGGCTCACAATGAAATGGAGAAAGCTCCTCGGGATGGAGAAGTAAACATTGCAATGAGAAAAACGCCAGCCAGGAATGCCATAGGGAGCTGCGGGCGGGCAGCGGCAGGGACGGACGGTACGCCAGCTTCCTGACGACAGCAGAGGCTAAATCATGAACAGAAAACGCCCCCAAAACAAAGCCAAAAGGGGCTATCAGAGAAAAATGCATATTTTAATGTCCTCTTTCTTAGTTTATAAGAAGTAAATTAATCCCTAAAGAAAACCATGAGAATTTTATTGTTACTGGGTACATAGAGTGACAATGGAGCAACACTTAATTAAAAGCACTGCAATGCATAAAGCAATATGCTGGCTACAGTGGGAGTTGCAGATACGCGCATCAACTCCAAGAGCTTGTAGTAGTTTATGGAGATAATCCTAAACGCTCTACTTTTGTTTATCAGGTGAGTGAAAAAAATACACAACCACAAGTACAATCAAAATTTAGATACAGTAGATAAGAATATTCAATGTAAAGAAAGAGGCTTTATTGAGATGGACCTTGAAATCCTAGGACTAACTTGGACAGACAGGGACTAGAGAAGGCACTACCAACAAGGGAAACAGAATAAAGTTTAAATACACATCAAGCGTTCAGAAGAGCGAGCACCTGGCAAGAAAAACGCAGGAATTTGGGGCTAATGAAGGATGATCTTAGGAAGGCGGCCAGACAATGCTGGACAGCCAGGTTAAATGCTTTTAACCTTACCTGTTAAGAGTCACTGAAGATTCTGAATTTTTTAAGAAAAGACAGCACTACAAAGTTTTCAGTACGTCCTATTAACACTAAAAAGAAAAGATTTTTTCAACCTTTTTTGCACAAGAAACAGTCTATTATCTCACATTGATTCCACTGTATAAACAGTACTGTCAGTTCTCACTCCTCCTGAACCTCTGCCATTTGTAGTGGGTAGAAAAAATTATTATAGTTAGGCAAACACAGCTATTTTAGAACACAAATATGCAAATCATGACTATCAGCTCTAAGTGGAAATTATGTTTTAAACACTGAAAGGAATCTCAAATTTCAAAATCCAAATATTAAACATTTTATATCTTAGGAATAACAAATTAGTAACAATTTTTATTTTTGATTTTTACACAAGATATCATCTCTTGGTTTAAGAAAGTAACTTGTTCCACAAAACCCTTTCTTCAGTAGAAAAGTTGCTTTCCTTAATTTATACTTAAAAAGCTATAATAGCAGCCCCCAATCACCCATTAAAAATAAAATTTCAGAAATCACTCTTTCTCCCAATAAAGCAAGCACCTCCATAAAACAAGAGTTCAACATAGAAATAGAAAAGCTTAGGGGAGATATAAAATAGCAAGATACAGCAAAATAACAAAAGGAAATGAAACATCAGCAGATATAGCTCAAGAAAACAATGTAAGAGAAAACTAAAACCATAAGCATGGGGCAGGGTAATGCCATATTGGATGCAGCATGAGGGAGAATAGACATTGCTGAATATACACTAAGAGACATGGTGAGCAGAACAAGCAAATGAAACAGAACTTAACAAAAAATCTGAAAGGACTTCCAATAAAAGCATAATCAGTGTTCTCAAAGAAAAAGAAAGTTACAAAACTGTTCATGTTCAATCCATTGTATACTTTTATTCAATGACAATGGCCCACGTAAACATTTTTTAACATGAAAGATACCAGGGAAGATAGTTCTTATGATCCCTACTAGATAGAGGACCAACTTCAGTACAACAGAAACAAGGGCACAAGGCCTGGGCGTGAGCTTTGAATCCATTTAACTGTAAAAGTAACATTAAAATGAAAAACATTATGATTGCAGAACAGAATGTGAATGTTATGAACCCTGACTGTATATATTTTAAAAGACATTGCTTTTATTCATTATAAAGATCACGACCTGGCTGGTGTGGCTCAGTGGATTGAGTGCTGGCCTATGAACCAGTTGGTCACTGGTTCGATTCCCAGTCAGGGCACGTGCCTAGGTTGCAGGCCGGGTCCCTGGTTGGAGGCGTGCCAGAGGCAACTGACACATGTATCTCTCACACATCGATGTTTCTCTCCCTCTTTCCCTCTCCCTTCCACGCTCTCTAAAAACAAGTAAAATCTTTAAAAAAAAATTGTTTAATCATTAAAGTAGACATAAAGTTGTGAGGCAGCAATTTACAAACCGTATAAAAGTCTATCATTTCATCCTTGGAATGCCCTCCAATGTAATCAATGACACACCTATGTTTCTATCAAGTTCTAAAGTGAAATGATTCTTTGATGCCTTAGGCTCCAAGTCTGTCTTTTTGAATCGCTTGCTATGGTTTTCTGGTTGGTTTTATTGTTGTATTTTGTTGGTTTAACTTGTGAAATTAAAGAGTAAATATGGGCAAGCACTTCTGAAAGAGACAGCTCTCGATCCTTTGAAGTTTCTTTGGGAGGGATCTGGCACTCACTGAACTGAAGATGCCAAAACCTCCTTCAGTCATTAAAGTGCAGATGACTGTGCTAACTAGAAGTCTCCCCTTCCGTTGCCTTATTTTAGTGATTTTCAGATACCAGCTTTCTTCCAGGGACCTGGGTAATGAACGCCACTTACACTGGTCAATTAAGTCAAATGCCACCCAGGCTTCTCGAAAAGAAAGTGTCTAACCTTAAAAACATTACGTAATTTTGCATTCCTGATTTTCTTTTCTCTTGAAAACTGTGCCACCAAAACACAGATATGTGTGGAAGTTAGACATCTCTGTTCCTCTGGTCTACTTCGAGTCACACTTGGAAAAAATATTTTTCTTTCCTTTTTTGGTTTCCCCGCATCATTTAATACTTATCATGCATCATTTATTCTGGCTTAGAAATTATAGTGCTATAAAAGAACAATACAAAGGAGAATTTAGGCAGGGCAAGTTCAATGAACTAAAATGCCTTGTTTGGTTGTATATTGCAGTGGTCTCCAAACTGCTTTGATCACATAATCCTGGGGAAGACAAGATGTATGGGGCTATGAATACATTTATTAATAGGTTATATGCACATGTGCTACTATGTCACTATATTATGTGCATTATAAAACATGATGTAGAAATTCTAAAGAACTAAAGATGCAAATATTTTATTTGTTAATGGCAAATCACTTTCTGCTGTCACTAGAAATTATTCACCATATTTATCAAGAATATGATGTAATGTACTTTATTATTTCTGAACATCTCAGTTTAATGCTTTGTGATCGAGCAATTTGTTTTAATACTTGACTTTAATGGCTGTCGGAGACATGTCATGAAGATATGCAGATATGAACGGAAAAAGGACATCACGGCACCTTGGTTTTTGAGTCCACCCTCCGATAAGGAGAAAGTTTAGGGTTGTTGTTGTTATTACTTTGCTGTTATTGCTAACTGACATTCAGCAGGTAAATGTCCATCCTTCCTGATGTTAGTTGCTCTTGAAAGTTTATGAGAGCTATCAAATTGTTATAGTTTTAAAAATTGTATTCTAAAACCACTGAAACTTTGTAAGAGTTTTTTCCCCACCAGATTAGGACATTCCATTTTCAACTTATTAAACATGCAGATGTGAAGGGTTCGAACAGGTGACACATCATTTTGTCACCATCAATTCGGCGCTGGACCGCCCTTTGTGAGAGAGAAGCACGCCGCTGTCCCCGGGCAGGGCTGCTCCGGGTTTCCCGGCTGGCGCTGCCGTGCAGAGCCCTGACTAATGCACCGGGTAACAGGGCGGACGAAGAGCTTCCACTCAGTCAGGGAGGGGGCAGCTCCTCCATTTTCTCAAGGCAGCCTGTCGCTTCCATCTGCAGCTTCCTAACAGAAACTGCTTTTAAGCCACTTGCCCATTTTGTCAGAATTTGTTCACAAGGATAACACAATATACTCTTCAAATCTGCTGTATCAGGTACGCATGCGCTGCAATACGGGGCCCACCATTAAGCAAGGCCAGCTCTTCTCTCCAGACAACTCAAGAACCATGTGTAGCCTATGCCTTGTGTTTAATAGTAAAGCTTCGCCATTTTTGGTTGATACATAAATGTATGAAGAAGTTCTACTTTCTTCCCATCCCTCTCCCCCCTCATCAAATGTTCTTATGCCTCTCCCTGGTGGCCAAGCATTGAGGGTATCAGTGCTTTAATAGCTACCTATAAATAATTTGTCTCCTGGATCATGATAATATATGGTGAGATGAAAATGTTCCTTAGTGAAAAATCAGCATAAAGAGGTGTTCTCCATAAAACTGAAAACTTGTGAAAAGCAAATAGTAAATCAAGGAGTGGGTGTATAGGAAAGTTTTGGTGCCTTACCGGAAAACCTCGAGAATAATCCTTTCTGGTAACTTGGGAGCCACCTGCTTGAATGCTTTTTGGAAATCTTCCAAAGTTAAATATCCACGATCTATTTGAAAACAAAATATAAAACATTCACTTATCTCTATGAACCCTATGAACTGTTATTTTGGCCAGAAAACTTACATGATACTTTATTTTCTTTTAAAGATTTTATTTGTTTGGGTTTTTTTTGTTTGTTTGTTTTTTTTTTTTCCCCCCCTAGAGAGAGGGTAAGGGAGGGAGAAAGAAAGGGAGAGAAATATTTATGTGAGAGTGAAACATTGATCAGTTGCTTTTTGTACTCACCCCGATCTGGGACCAAACCCACAAAGCAGGCATGTGCCCTGACCGGGAATCAAACTGGCGACCCTTGGCTTTGCAGGACAATGCCCAGCTGACTGAGCCACACCGCTCAGGGCTTGCCCAATACTTTGATATGCTATTAGGAGAAGAGCAGTAATTAATAGCCGATTTTACACGTAAGATAACCCAAGATTGTCTCCTTGGGAGAATTTAAGGACCCATTGGTGCTCTCCTTCGCTGCAGTCACAGGTGACCTGGAAGGTCACTTCTAGTCCTTTCATTCGCTAATTCTCTGAGTCCCAGGGAAAGGACTATAGAGACGTGCGCTGCAGTAACAGCATCAGGCTTCAAATCTTTGTAAATTGCCAAAACAATTTATTCCACACGATTCACTTTTTTTCTTACTTGGTATTGGAATTATAATATACTCATATTGAACGGAAAACCGTACTGGCAGCCAAGACACCGCCCCTGGACTCGGTGAGTCTCTTCGCCCTGTGTGAGGCCTGTGGGGCACAGGCGCTCTGCCGTCACGCCTCCCAGCCACACAGGTGGGAAAGCAGTTCCTCCAGCAACTCGTGGGCCAAAGCAGGAGTCGAAGGCGATGCCGCTGTCCCCCACACCTCTGCAGGTGGCTCATGACCTACACCCGCCAGGGCCAGCCCTTTTGTTGTCCCAATTACAATCATAAGGACAATTACGTAACTGTCAACATTACTTCATCCATGGTGAACGTCAAAAATTTAAAACCATGATGGAGAAAAAAATGCACACCAACATCTAAGGTAATAGCTAATAGAGGGCAGTAAAATAAACTCCCAGGTATGCTTATTTGATGCATTGAGTATACATTCCTATTCACAGTTCCTTAATAGAAATTTGTATTATTTTTTATTTTTTAAAGACTTTATTAATTTGTTTTTAGAGAGAGGGGTGGGGAGGGAGAAAGACAGAGAGAGAGACATCGGTGTGAGAGAGAAACATCGATCAGCTGCCTCTCGCAACACCCCCAACTGGGAATCAAACAAGCAACCTTTCAGTTTGTGGGACGATGGCCAGTCCCACACCAGTCAGGGCCTTAACAGTAATTTTTAATATGAAAACAGTTTAAAGAGACTTACAGTATCTGTCAAAAGCTGTGAAGATGTGTCTCATTTCATTCCGATATAGCTGAGCTTCCTTCTTTTTCCTTACAATAGTTAAAAACTCCTCAAGTGATATACCTAAAAGTTAGGGGGAAAAAATTGCAAAAATGACTGACTTCCTCTTTAAGAAAACACAAAACATAAACAAGAGTAATACATAGCACAAATGTTATACTAATGTTGGTGAAAGGTATTTATTTCTAAAGACATTTTGCTAAATACTACGTAGGCCCAACACTAGCAGTCAATAGCAAAAACAACAGACAGTTTTAGTTCACTGGCCTTTTCCAGGGCATAATGGAATGGTGACCTCAAAAACGTGTGACACACTTCCCTATAACAGAGCTAACAGAGGGGCCCCAAACTATATATTAAACAGGGTCTCATCATTTTTCTTTCCTTCTGCTGCTTTGATCCCTTTTTTCCTCGCCAGATGTCATTCCCGCGGGGTTTTTTTTTCCAACTGGGAGATCGGGGCAAAGAAGCAGTTTCTCAAAAGTCAATACCAATTGCACACCACAGATAAAAGTGGAGAGACTATTCCGTAAACAATAGGGCTGGCACCGTCCCCAGCCTTGGGTACACCCGACGACTGTTCTGCAGCCTTGGGCTCTGCTTCCTGCGATTCTCATAATAAAAGAGCCCAGCATGATCATATGAGATTGGGCACTGTGCTTACGAAGTCTATTAAAATGAATTCTAATGTAATCTTTGTAACAGGTTTAAAGAGCAGAGCCAAGAATTTAAACATTTTAGTGACCTGAGCCCTAAATATAGAAAGAGCAGTTCATTTTTATACATCAGGATTTCCATTTAAAAAAAATGTATTACTGTCTTAAAAATAACCCCAAATCATACAACAATTTTTAAAAACTTACACCCTTTTCCTTTTGATGAGGTGATACGGAGTGGCAGTCCCTTCCTAAAATAGTTCCAATGGTTGAAAAAACATAGAAAATAGTTTTCTCAATTTTTCCACATTTTTATTTGTAGTTAAAGATTTAGAAACTAAAAAAGTCCCTCTGTCTCCATGTATTGATACGAGTCTTTCACAGCTGAGACCCACTGTGTGCAGGCATGTGCCAAGCCTTGGAAACCGAGGGAAAAAGAGAACACACACGATTCCAGCCCCAAGGGAGCTACTGGTCTAGTGAGGGAAAGAGAGGTACACAGGTTCAGTGCAATGAGCGGCAAAACGGGAGGTCGTAAGCGAGTCAGGGGACTCTCCCTGCAGAGCGGACTCTGGCGAAGGGGAGATCTCTTAGAGCAGGTGCTATTTAAGCTAGGCCCAGTGATGACTAGATACCAGCTGGCTAAAGGATGGGAAGGAGAGCATTCCAGGCGGTGGAAACAGCAGGTGCTAATGCCAGGGGCTGAGAAGGGGGAGAAATGGAAAAGGGCCACTGTGGTCAGGACGTGGCGAGCGAGTCAGCAACACGGGATGGGGTTGCTGAGGTTGGTAGCGCTTGTGGACCACAGGAAATCACCTGGTTTTTATTTGAGTTGCAATAAGACATCAATAAAAAAATGAAAGGATTGAAATTGGGAAGTGACATGCACTGGCTTAGACTTTTTAAAGATCTTCCTGGCTGATACCTCGAAAGAGGACTGGGAGAAAGCAAATGAAAAAGGGACACCCATTAGGAGCCTACTGGCAAGAGATGTGGTTGCTAGGGTGCTGACAGTCGCGGGGCAGGGGGGCAGGGTGGGGCGGAGAGAAAGGTTTCTCCGTAAGTTTCACAACAGTTGAAGGCTTAGAGGAGGCGGATGTCAAGGAGAACCCCTAGGCTCCAGCTTGAGTACTCACTGGTTTGAGGGATCATTTAAAGAGATAAGAAAGGGCAGGATTTGGGGTTGAGATGAGCGTTGTGACTTGGATTTAAGTCCAAGTTTGATGCTTTGGAGACAATCAAGAGAAAAAAGTCAAGTAGGCAGCTGGACAGACTCTAGGCAACAAAGCATGTCCCCCGGCACCTACCAGAGTGTGTGGGGCGTGCTCAATAAATACGTATTGTATGGAATTAGCACACGTAGCACTTTCCCCCAAAGTAGTTAGGGTATGTGTTGATGCAGCTTCATTCTCATCCATTCAGCCTTGTGACCAGAGAACATATTTATTTACAAGTGTTAGCTGAGGTTAAAATTGAAGTCACCATGCCATGTCTCCACAGGATCAAATCCAAAACTTTAGTTCCATGAACACCAAAAGCTAATCAATTACTTAGGATCTAGATTAGTTGAAATCCTTGAACAATGTATCCACTGACCACGGCATATCTTAGGAGGCCCTTCACAGTCTAGCCCCTGCCTCCATTGCTAGCCTCCATAGCAAACTTTCCAATGTTTCCCTAAGACAGTCAGCTCTTCCACACCTCCATACTCTTGTATGTGTGGGACCCACTGTCTAGAATGTGCATTCTCCTTTCTCCTAGTGAATTCTTTTTTAAATCCTCACCCAAGGGTATGTTTTTATTTATTTTAGAGAGAGAAGAAGCAGGGGGTGGGGGGCAGGAAGAGACAGAAACATCAGAGAGAGAAACATCAACTGGTTGCCTCCCATATGTGCCCCAACCAAGGATCAAACCCACAACCTAGGTATGTGCCCTGACCAGTGCCCGCAACCCATTGGTGTACAGGCTGACACTCCAACCAACTGAGCCACCTGGCCGGGGCTTTCCTAGTGAATTTTTATTGGGTTGGGCAAAAAGTCTGTTTAGTTTTTTCCATAAAGTAAAACACACATTTTTCATTTTCACCAATAACTTTATTGATTTGGATATTTTGAGTATGTCGGCTGTCTCCTGCTATTGGCTTCTAGAGGGTAGAGGACAGGGGTGCTGCTAAACATCTTCCAGTGCATAAGACAGCCCCACAGCAAAGAGTTATTTGGCCCAAATGTCAATAGTACCAAGAAACTTCACAAACCACTTTTGACACATTCGATCAGTCACAGCACCTTCTCCATATACTGCACAGATCTTTTTCTGCATTTCAGATGCTTTTTCCCTTTTCTTGAAATAATAAAACATAATACACCAAAAATGTTGCATATTTTCTTCCATCTTTAATATTAAAATGGCTGCACAAAAATTCACCCATATTGATTTTTTTTAAATGCATGCTGATATGACAGCAATCACAATACAATCTAACAAAATTGTTTTGAATGAAGTTCAAGACAACTAAGCACTACTAAGGTACAGAAAAAAACATAAACTTTTTGGCCAGCCCAATACATCTCCCTCCTGATGCAACAAGGGTCTGGCTTCCTCTTTGAAAGCTACCCTGATTTCTTTCACCTAAGTCCCTTTCCTATGACTTTGTTTATAACACATAGACTCTGTTAGGTCTTATGGTAATTATTTAACCACACATTTGCTTGAGCCACACTAAAGGAAAGCACTGTTTATTGTTCAAAATTGTATCCCCAGTGCTTAGCATGATACCTTGCATGTAAGTAGGCACTCATTAATGTTTGTTCAATAAGTAAACAAAATAATAGGAAGATATTAATTCTAGTTTTCAGCAAAAAGCATTAAAATCTATTTGAAGCGATCTTATAACTTTGTAAACAAATGCCAAAAAGTCAGTCACTTTTTACTGACATAGCCAGCAAAATCAATCATCATTTCAGAGACCCCAATTTCTAAATGCATATGTTATAGTTAAAAAAAAAAATTCAGAGAAAAGGAAATGCATGCATTATACTTGCTCTTATCATTGCATCTGATTTAGGGAAATGGTATTGGAAAAAAGCACAATTTCCTGGTTCATTGTGTGAGTCACAAGAAAAGAAAAGTATGTGAGTGGTGATATCTTTTAAATTACATATTTGGAAAAATCATTGGTATTTGGAGCTATAAAGTAGCCTGGTCTTTATTTCATAATCTTGTCAGATAAAAGGTAGATGTTCTTTAGCTTTTCCTAGGTGAAAATGTGGATTTCAACTGTATGTTTATCACCACTTAAAGAGAAATAATATAATAACACAAATAACTATATATGTAATCAAGTTCTTTGATACGCTTTCCCCACAGGATCATACACCTTATTTTTTGAAGTCAGTACTCTGGAAGTCATCAGGTGATATTAAACCACGTAAACACACCCTGCTGCCCCCCTACTCCACGGGCCCTTAACTGGTTTTAATCTTCCGTGGCAACACATATCCAAATGCAAGCCCCTTCTCTCAAAAGAACAGAGACCTTTGCATTCAGCTTGGCTCTCACCGTAGTAGTAAGATCAACTTTTAAAGCCACTGCATAACGGTTTGCTACTCCTGCAGCTCTAAAGTGCAAGTTCCCAAATGTAAGCTTTATACACTTTGCAGCTCTTTAAATGGCCTAGAAATAGAGGTCCTCCTACTAGCTCCACCTGCTGTTATAATATTCAAACCTAAAATTACCTCTTCACAAAGACTTCCAGTAATCCTATTGCCATCCTATTTCACACACAATGAGACCTGCATTACCAGCGCCTACCCCTAGAGGGAAAGAATGTGTTCAAAAACATTCTGATTTCAAATACAACGTTGGGTCTTCCATGCACACCACTCACCAATCACAGTTGCCTAAACACACTTGACTGTAGTTACACACTGAGGATCACAGCAATGTCAGGAACCACACAGACCAGTGCGTTTATCTGAGTTTCTTATTAATCCGTCTGCAGAAGGTGTTCAGAAATCGCCTGGGCAGTTGGATGCTATCAGTAATGCGCAGACTTTTTTCCTGTTTCTTTTTTCAACTGTAGGAAAGCTTAATGTGTAGAGGAGATTAAAACAGAGCTGTCTGGTTTGGAGCGAGGTGGGCTCCCTCCCCTTCCCTGGCCAGGAGTGCTCCTGGAAGTGCCCCCACAGAACCCAGGACTGAGGGAAATGCCTTAAAGACCACGGGTCCAACGATCTCTACAAATCTTTCTAGACTTTGCTCATCTCTGCACTTTCCACACCATTGGAAACATTTCCTTCCATTTTATAAACCACTCTTGGCAAAATGGACTCTTTTCATGTTCTACAATGAATATACTCATATATATATTTTATTTCCCAAACTACTTAATGCATGTGATGTAGATAT